TGTTGATCTCTCCCTGTCCCTTTGGCTCTTACCCTAACACCAAAAAAGGTATAAGTCTTAAAGATACCGGTACACCTCTTATGCAGGAGAGAGAAAAAATACGAGAAGGGCTAGATGCCCGTTAGCTCGGCTTCCTCCAACTTAGGGTGTAGTGTAGCCAAACCATCGTCGAGGTCCACATCAACCCCTAGGCCCTTCAATGCTAGTATGCTGCTCAACCTAATGGTCACAAAAAACTTTTAATACTTCAATAATTACTTTTTTGGTAGTTGAATTTTATCTAAAAAAAATTGAAGTTTTTTCTTATTTTCAGGTTTTTCAGCCAATGAATACCAAGTATTATAGTGCATTTATATTTTTACTATATATTCAGATTTTTACTATTTACTATGTATCGATTTTTTTGTCTTTGAAAACTGAATACCTTCAACTTTTATATTTTGAATTTTTTAGCAGCTTTTTATTTATGTTTTTTGACAACCATTAAATCCTTTAAAACAAACAATAAACCACAAGTTTTATATAAACAAAAAATAAAAAATATATTAAGAAATATGTTAACAATAATGAAAAAAATATGTTCTTTAACACCACCTTCTGACATCGAACTGTTGTCGGCAACCACTAACCGACGGTAAGAATTAACCCACCCGAGACAGAACAAGAGAAAGAGAAATAGAGGCAACCATCGTTTCCGCCGGAGACATCGACGAGAGAAAGGAGATCGTGAGAAAGGCCACCGGAACACCTCATTAGCCGAAGAAGATCGTCGTGAGAAAGACCATGGTAGAAATAACAGGAAAAGGGAGAGGGAGAGCAACAGAGAGGCATGTCGAGAGGTGGTGTTTCCGATCTACTCTGCCATTGACCACTGTCGTCACCACCTCCGACAACCTATCTCCGACAACTAAGTTCAAAATAGAAGAAAAAACAGCGACATAAAGAGAGGGAGAGAGAGAGGGCGGATGGTGGTGATATTCGACGGTGGTGTTCAACGGTTGTGTTTGTCGGCGGTGGTCCTCAGGCCGACATCGAGCTCTTGGTCGGCCGACAGTGGAGCGGCTGCTATGGTGGTGAAGGGATAAGAGAAAAAAGTGAGAGTGGCTGATGAGAGATAAGGGTTTTTTGGGTTTATTTTTTAATGATAAATTTGCTAATTTAGTCAAATTTGCTAACTATTTTGCTCAAAAATAACAAAAAAAAAATTACGATAAATAGCCACTAAAATCTCAGATGGCTAGACCTCATCTACAGTTTCGACATTCCATCTGCTATTTGGTGGTGTCAATCTACTATTTGGTGAGTTCATCTTCTATTTCCTCTATATCCATCTGCTATTTGTCACAGGTTATAAAAATGCTATTTTTTTGAAATCTATTCCACCAAATTGCAGATGGGTTTTGTTCTATCTGCGATATACGCTCAACCCATATGTGATTCTACGCTTAATTTTTTTTAATACTTACGTTTGACTACAAATTTGGTAAGGTTGACTACAAAATTTGACATTGTTGACTATGAATTCGTACAAACTGGTAGATTTTATATAAAAATTGGCATAAAAAGCTTAGCTTATTCGTTATTTCTTTAGAAATTTTGTTTAGGTTCAATCGGAGAATTTGAGAGAGTTTTCTCAAGTTGGAAGATGGAAAAATGAGTGTTTTTCAAAAAAAGAAAAAAAGGTATTTAAACATGGGAGAACAAATTGCAGATGGACCTAGTCAAACTTAGAGATGGAAGTCCATCTACGAATGTACAAGTCTTTAATGCACGAGTCATGCATTAATGACTTGTACATTCTCAGATGGACTTTCGATTTCATAAATGGTCATAATTAACAGCAATTTTAGTCGCTATTTTGTGTAATTTGCTAATTTTTGGCTATTTTGTGCAAAATAATTATCAAATTTGGCTATATTTTGCAATTTTTGTCTTTTTTAATTTATAAATGGGTTTGGTTGTGGTTTAAGAAGAAAATTAGATTTTTAATTAAAAAAAATGTCTTTTTAATTAAAATTTACATTTTTTTAGAATGGGAATAAAATGTAATGCACATTTTTATTTTTATAAGTTTTAAAATATAAAAAATCGTGTAATAATAAATAAAATTGATATTTTTTTTAAGAATGTAAATAAACATATAATATACGTTTTTATTTTATAAATTTTAAAATATAAAAATGACATATTAAACAGATTAAATAGATTTAAAATGTAATAAATTATTTGTATATTAAACAAAATTTATTAATTATTATTTTATTATTAGCTAATAATTATAAATAAAAAAGCTAATCATTATAGATAAAAATGTTAAATTATTATTTAATCATTTTAATCATTGGCTAGAAAAAATAATATAATAATTAGAGGGTATTGGTAGAGAATCTTCAATGGAAGCTTATTTTTTTAGCTTTTTACTATTTGTTTTAAGTTATTTATCATTTATTACAATTGGAGCTAATTGTTTTTTTTCTTTTTTATATTGATCACTCAATAAATATTGAATGGTCAATATGCTTTCATCGAAGGATATTATTCGGGTCGGACCCGAACCGAACCGACCCGAACCCGAATAAACCGAAAACCGAATAAGGGTAATTGTATGAACCGAAAACCAAACCAAATAAGCAATACGGGTTCGGTTCGGTTCGGGTATTATTCGGTTCGGTTCGGTTCCGAATAACCCAAATAACATGTACAAGATGATTAAGGAGCCGAATAACCCGAATAACCCGTATAACCCGAATAACCCAAATAACATTTAGAATGTGATTATAAATATTATATTTTGTATGACTTTTGTAGCTTATGATTTCATAACAAATCTTTTAAAGAAACAAATTAAAAGATTGAGTAGTAGATTAACACATTCAAATTTCAATGAGTAATATACATAATAACACATTGAAAGATTGAGTAGTAGATTAAGATACAAATACTTACTTGAGTTTCTTGATTTGGAACCCAATTTTCCATGACTTGAATGGGGTTTGATCACAATAGAAACTAGAAAACAAGGACGAGGAGACGATTATTTTTTCCAGACGCAAGGGCCGACTTTTTTTTATCGTGAATTCACTTTGAAGTTTGAACTTTGAACTAGTGATGATCGATCAATGAGTCCAGGTTATCGCAAGTCGCAAAGGCAGCAGCCGCAATCGTTGATCAAAGAGTAATGTCGCAAGGATGAGAAAAACCTCAATCGATCAAAGAGTAATGTCGTCGACTCGTCGATTTGGTGTAATACGCTACTGTCGATTTGGTGTAATACGGATGATCGAATTCGATTTCGTTGATTTTTTTTGGTATATTACGTGGGTTTTGTTGGGTAACGATTAATATAAAAGAAGACCGAATAAGCAATCGAGTTAGGAAAAAAAATGTGACTTTTCATATTCGGTTCGGTCCTTTTGGACCGAATAAGACCTTATTCGGGTAACCCGGACCGAATAACCCGAAAACCGAATAAGCCTTATATAGATACCCGAAAACCGAATCAAATTGTTTATTCGGGTCTAATTCGGTTCGGTTCGGTTCGATTTTCGGTTCGGTTTGGGTTTTCGGGCCAAATTCTCATCCCTACTTTCATCTTTAGTATGTTTAACCTCCTCATCTTCTAATCATATTTCTTTTTACCCCTTAATTATATTTTTGTTTTAAATATTTTTAATTTATTTACTAATTAATATTTCTATCAAATATTTAATGACATATTACATAAGAATTATAAATTTATAACCATTATATAATATTTTCAACTTTTTTATAACTATGACATTAATTTTTAAGTATTTTACCTTTATAAAATAAAGACCCGGTGTATATATATCTCTATTTTCGTTTGTTTGTGGCACTCAACGTCTATAAAATATAATATGTGTTTAAAAACTAACTAATTAAACGAAGGGATTTTATAGACTATTTTAAATAGATAATGATAGATTATGTAAAAATAAAGAAAAAACTGTTGGAAGAGGTTAACCATTGAAATGGTTATTTAATTATAAGTTAAAACTAATAGGATGATGAGATGACAATAGTTTTAAATCATAGTATACATGAACCATTGGATATGCTCTTATCTTCATTTTTATTTTCCAAACACTCATTTTTGACTTGTAATGATGGTAAAATAATAGCAAATCAATTAGGCTGCATGGAGTCGGACGCTGACGCTATCATGGCTCGTTAGGAGGTCACTAGGCTCGTTGAACACCGCTCCCTGGCGCTCGAGCCCGCTACCAGCATCTCGCTAAGGTCTAAGCGAGAGGAGAGAAAGAATCCTGATATGTGATTGGCTGATTCCTTTTCTTTTCTTTTTTTAATTTTCCCCCCAAAATCAAACCTATTAAATGGGGATACTACCACTCTCTACCTTTTATGTGCTAAACATGTTAATCGACTTCAAAAAACATAAAAAAAATCATACATAACAAGGTGCTAGAAGGGCTAGCACTCCATTTAACCTCATCCCAAACAGGCAAACACCCTATTTAGGATCTAAATCACCCCTTGCAAATATTTAAACATTATAGGTCCCTAAACCTAGATATTTTATTTAAAATCAATCAGTAAGACCTAAAATAGCAAATCAATCCTTAACATGCTGATATGGCATCCAGAATGGGCACTGATATGTCATCCACATCAATCTGACATGGCACCCAAACGGTTAGGACATATCATGTATATGTTTCAGGTTTGAAAACAAACACAAACCAAAGAGGGATATTACAATTCTGCTTAACTAGTCAACAACTATAAAAGAAAGCAATTTGGACTTATTGCATGTCCAAAACCCTTTGCGTAAAAAGATTATGATCACTGAACCAGAAATCGTCAACAAAACAGTTGAGGGGAAAAAGATTTCAACAAAAATACCTAAAATTTAAAATAATGATTGAAGACATAATTTCTTGTTCATCTTTCAACATTGGGTTTTTGAAAAAAAAAAACTAAATCAAAATATACCCAAATCCATGGGACAAGAGGTTAACTGTTTTGCTGACATGAACCCAAACATATATTATAAGAGAAGTAGCACATTTCAACATATTAAGAAGTTGCTGCAATGAAGCCAAGTTACCATCAAAACTCTTAGTCTCAACAATTCTCAAACACCAAAATTTAATATCACTACAACACAAAACAAAAGCAAGTTCATAATAGAAGAAGAAAGCATTGTAAGCCATAACTTATCAGCGATAACGACGAAGAGACAAGGTGTTGTTCCTCTTCCATGTAGCCCTTCTTGAAGGTCGTGCCTTGTGGTTCAAGTGTCCCTTTCCACGAAGTCCTCTGTACTTCTTTCCAGCAGATGTCAATCCCCTTAGCTCTCTGTGTTTGTGCACTGGGTTGCAAATCCAGTTGATCCTTGGATCATTGCGGATAGCAGCATGAGCAGGATCTACCAAGATCACCTCAAAGTACTTGTAAGTCGAATCCTGTATTCATGATTCAACACTTGTAATCTGTGCCGACAAAGTTGTAGAATCACTCAATGAATATACAAAATCAGATGCATACCTCATTGAGCCAGTAGGAGTTAAGAACCTTGAGACCACCCAACTTCCTTCCTGCTCGTTCTTCAGCAACGGATCTCTTGCTTCGTTGAAACTTCAGTTGAGTCACTCCCTGGTTTGTGGGCTTTCCGTACACGATACCTTTTGGAACTGGCCTCTTCCTTCCACCACGCCTCACACGTACTCGATAGATCACATAACCCTAGTGAAGCACAAGGTTAACATATAATGATTAACTAATCTAGCTAACAAAAACCGGAAAACTAGAAAACGATTAGATGATTGACGTGATAGAACGATGAAAAGCGTACCTGTTTGGCTTTGTAACCCATGCGGCGAGCCTTGTCTGGACGAGTAGGATGAGTAACCCTAACAATGGAAGGAAGCTGACGGTATTCCCAGCACCTCACCCTCTGCATAAATCGCATCACATCCGACTGTTTCTTCCTCCATAGCTCCGATACGTAGGTGTAAGCACCTGTTAGAGCAACAGATATCATACGCCATTTCAATTATTCAAAACGCCAATTATCCAATTCAACAAGTTACGATGAAAATTAAACAGATGATTACGAGAAGATAACCGATATTACATCATGATTATGTGAAATTATAGAAGGGGTCGGCGTTTACCCATTGCTACACTCGCTTCCGGCTTCGATCTGCAGAGAGATGGCTGCTACTTCGGTGTAACAATATGAAGCAAGGTCTGGATTAGGGTTTTTGAGAGCGGTTTTATCTAAAGTTGAAGAAACCGCAATGCCCTAGCCTCTGGGCTGCAGTAACATCGGCCCAATGTTGAATGGATTGGGCTTTAGTCTGACTTAGATTAGCCCATAATTAGGTTTTACCGGCTTTTGTTTTTATATTTTGGATTAATTTATATGATCGGTCTAATGTAATTTTTTTTTGTTAGTTAGCCATTGGACCATTTAACAACATATTTTTATTGTTTTTATTTTGTTTTATATTTTTAATTTATTGCTTAACTTTTTATTATTAAAAAAAAAATGAATAGGGAACCTTACCCCAACCCTACCCCATATAACCCTAAAACTCGTTTCTTTCACCCTACCACCCGCATCACCTCCCTACCCCATATAACCCTAAAACTCGTTTCTTTCATCCTACCACCCGCATCACCTTCATACGCCATTCAAAGAACCAACCGTCTCCGCATTAAAAAAAAACAAATAAGTTTTTATAAAAAAAATTAACGAAATGAAAGTTCTAAATTCACGTCGAAACGTTGACAATGTTGAATTTATACTGACACGTATATAAAAATAAGCATATAAAAATAGTTTTTTTAGGTTAACGGACGAAAGTTATTAAAGAAATCAAATTATATGAACTACATCGGAGAAACATGAAAGTTTAGAAAATAAATTGGTGAACATAACATTTTATAAATTTCAAAGTGAAGGGTCAAAGTGACATTTTAAAAATAAATGTGGAAAAGCCACAAACTCATAAACCTAAAATATTGACAAAATTACATAAATGGTACTCATGATCATAAACTCAGTCTATTCAACCTGAAAAGACCAAATTACTCTCACATTTACTGACCAAAACTAACGGTGTTAGCAAAAATGACCATTAATGCAAGTTTTGAAAACCACGGGGACCATGTTCGTAAAAAGTTTAACAAAGACAAAAATTATGACATTTGGTAAACCATGAGGACCATTTATATATTTTTTTTCTAATTACAAGGGTGAAAAAACATGACATGATAATGAGGCTTGATATTTAATAACAAATGTTTATTAAGCAACACAAAAATAAAAAATTATAGCCTAGCGGTATAACCAAATGGCTTATAGTCTAGCGGTATTTGTCTATCCTCCTTCGGATATAAGGTTCAAATTCTGTTGTGGTCATAAGTGGAATTAAGAGTAGATTAACTTTATCATTCTAAAATTTTATATTATATTTATATAGATATTGGTTATAAAAATAAAATTTTCGCATATTTTTTTCATTGTAACTTAAACATACATGGGATATTCGCTAAAATTGAATAGTAATCTCTTCTAAAAACTTGATATTGTGGACCAATACTTTCTTGATAACAGATTTAATTGTATTAAATTAATATATTTGTCCTTATTATGTTTATTTTGCATTTTTTTTTTCTTTAAGTATTTTATTTTCCATTTTCCTTCAACCCGTAATTTGCTCGTCCAGTCGTCCTTTATATATGCCACCACGTCGGAAACATACCAAACCACCCTTTTCATTCCTTTTCTCATTGTTGTCACCTCTTTTTAACCAACAAATACATCCCATTTTATACCCACCACATACCACATATCTGGTGGGTGCCACATCAACATCACATTCTCCTACCACTAGCATGGGATACCTACCACTAACACACCACTCCACCTCATTTTTTATTTAAATTTAATTCAAAAATACATTAAAATCATTTTTAATACTAGTTTTCCAGTAAATTAAAAGACCAAATTACATTAAATAAAAACTACATTAATTGAAAAAAAAAACTAACATTAAAAATAAAAATTACATTACTTAAAATAAAAAAAAAACATTAAAAAAAAACAAAAAATTACAACCATAAATAAAATAAACTACCACATACGCTACGTCGGGCTCGAACCGACTCTTTCATCGCTTGGAAAAGTTCCAAGTCTTCGCCATCGAGGTCGTCCGCTTTCATTTTCAAGATTTCCGTATCGGTTTTTGTTTGGATCGTCGCTTGTGCCTCTTGAAATGATGTTTGTGTTTCGATCATTTTTTGCTCCATCCGAGTCATCACCTCGGCCTTCGTTTCTTGAAGTTGCACATATCGATCAAATTTATCGACAAACATATCCATAACACTAGAATTCGAAGATGTTGAAGCCGCTTTTTTTGCTTTATTTCTTCCAACGGGCCGACGAAGAGGTTGGTCGTTTTCAAGATCTAGCGGATCGTCGTTGATGTCGATGTGTGTTCGGCCGTCCGATTGTTGGGAAGTTGCATCGAGGTTTCTCGAACGCTTTGAACCAGAAGATTGCGAAGTTCCTTCCGTTTGCTCTTTCCATTTTGGGGCGTCTTTCAATTTTAGTCACGGTTTCATATACGGAAACGCTTTGCGTGTTGGCGTTGTTTTTTCAAATTGCTCCATGGCCACCTTGAAAACATCAAAATCGTTCGAGCCGCTTTTGCGTATGTTTAGGAGGTTGTTGTAGATTCCTCCAAACTCGGTGCATTTTAGTCGAATATCTCGCCATTTCGACGTAATTTGATCGGCGTTTCGAGTTTCACTTTCCATTAACTCGTAGAAAATGGCTCGAACTTTCTCCCAAAAACTTCCGTAAGGCTCACTGTCTCCTACAATTGGATCTTTGGAAGCTGTCACCCATGCCTCCGCTAACTTTTCTTCTTCTTCTTTTGTCCATGGGACCCTTTCTTGGGCGGTAGTGGGTCGGACCGGTTTTTTCTTTTTTTTCTTTTTTGGTTGAGGTGGTGGTGAAGGTTGCGTTTCCGCAACAAAATCCGGCAAAAGTGGTGGTTGTGAGCTTGGTGGTTGTGTAATTGGAGGTTGTTGTAATTGTTGGAATTGTTGAAATTGTTGGTATTGTTGTGAAACTTGTTGTTGTTGGAAAGAGGAAAAAGGTTGATATTGTTGTTGGAAAAGTGGTGTTTGTTGGATAGGGGAACCGGTTTGAAGTAGATTGATAAA